GGTATTTCCAGAAGTGACGAAACGGGCCTATTTTTCAGGCTGCAGAGGCTTTCCTCACGCCTGGGAGGCCGAAAAAGGCCTCAAACAGACCAAAAATCATCTGGGAGGCGCAGTGCAGTAAGAGGGTGGGGGAATTGCACATGTAGGCACAGGGGGCATGGGAGGCGCACGCATTGCCTTCTGGGTGCTGTCACGCTAGCGCGCGAGCATAAGTGCACGCACAATTTTGGTCACAGGAGCCCCAAAAGGTTAGCCACCCCAAGGGGTGTTAGAAGTAGCGTCTTACCCCCACAGTATTTGTTTCCAGACGATAAGTCATCTGTGAACCAATATATATAATACTGTAATATAAAAAATGTAATAATAAAAATAAATAAAATAATAATATAGAGAGAAAGAAAATTTGAAGCTCCAACAAGTTCTGAAAATCTGGACACTAGAGGGCAGTAGCAGCCAATGTATCTAAGCCATCCTTGCTGCTGCTGCGCAAAGCGTTTCGCTAGTCCTCAACTTACGGCCAGAACTGGGAAGAAGCATTCCCGTTGCTAAGCAAAGCAGCGGTTAAGTGCATCGTGTCACATTTCGCCACCTTTTTTCACCAGGGTGGTTAAGTAAATCTTCTTCAGCTGAATCACGCAGTCGTTTTAGCAAGTACAGCCCATGGATTCTGCTTTTTGGGGGAAGGCCAGAGGTTTAAATCACCTGGCCCCAGACAGTGCAAGTAGTCCTCAACTTACAACAGTTTGTGAGCGGCCGTTTAAATCGGGGGTCTTCAGACTTGACAGCTTTAAAAGAGTTGTGAATTTCAGCTCCCAGAATTCCTCTTTCTCCAGTCATGTTAGCTCAGGAATTCTGGGAGTTGAAGTCCACAAGTCTTCAAGTTGCCAAGTTTGGGGATAGATCCTAGAAAATGGACGATAAAATGTCCCCCATTTTGCAGGGGAAATTCGGGCTCGAGGTGCCCCAAGCCTGCGTGGGAAGGCGAAAAACAGTGAGCCAAGCCGTAGCGCAGGGGTCTTCAAACTTGACAGCTTTTAAGACTTGTGGACTTCAACTCCCAGAATTCCTCCTCCTCCAGTCATGTTAGCTCAGGAATTCTGGGAGCTGAAGTCCACAAAGTCTTAAACTTGCCAAGTTTGAAGACCCTTGGAATAGAGAATAGAACAAGAATAGAATAAGAATTTGAATAGAATAGAATAGAATATAGAATAGGAGAATAGAATAAGAATTTGAATAGAATTGAATAAGAATTTTAGAATAGGATAGAGAATGGAGAATAGACAATCGAATAAGAATAGAATAGAGTAGGAATAAGATTTTTAGAATAGAATATAGAATAGAAGAAAAGAATAAGAATAAGAATTTGAATAAGAATTTTAGAATAGAGAATAGAAAAGAATAAGAATTTGAATAGAAGAAGACTTTAAGACTAGAATAGAGCAGGGGTCTTCAAACTTGACAGCTTTAAGACTTGTGGACTTCAACTCCCAGAATTCCTCTTCCTCCAATCACGTTAGCTCAGGAATTCTGGGAGTTGAAGTCCACAAGTCTTAAAGCTGTCAAGTTTGAAGACCCTTGGTTTAAATCAAGAAAGCCACCGAGCTTAGGGAGCAGAAAAGAAAAGACTGGACAGCCACTTGTTTGAAATGGTCTAGACTCTAGGGTCTCCTGCCTGCGCAGGGGGCTGGACTAGAAGACCTCCAAGGTCCCTTCCAGCTCTATTCTGATTGAGTGGTTGGTTGAAATGCTTTTGTCCAATCTCTTCTTAAAAACCTGGAGTGATGGAGCACCCTCAACTTCTGGAAGCATACTGAATAACAGAGTTGGAAGGGACCTTGGAGGTCATCTAGTCCAACCTCCTGCTCAAGCAGGAGATCCTATACCATTTCAGACTGGCAGCTTGTTCAGTCTCTTCTTGAAAACCTCCAGTGATGGAGCACCCTCAACTTCTGGTGGAAAGCTGTTCCACTGGTTAATTGTTCTAACGCTCAGGAAATTTCACCTTAGTTCCAGGTTGCATCTCTCCTTGATTAGTTTCCATCCGTTGCTTCTTGTCCCAAGAGCTTTGGAGAATTGGTTGACCTCCAATTCTTCTTTGTGGCAGCCGCCCAAATATTGGAAGGCTGCTCTCCTCTCTCCCCTGGTCCTTCTCTTCCCTAGACTAGCCAGGCCCAGTTCCTGCAACCGTTCTTCGTATGTTTGAGCCTCCAGTCCCCTCATCCTCCTGGTTGCTCTTCTCTGCACTTTTTCTAGAGTCTCAACATCTTTTTTTATAATGTGGTGACCAAAACTGGATGCAGTACTCTAGGTGTGGTCTTACTAAGGATGGATAGAGGGATGGATGGATGGATGGATGGATGGATGGATGGATGACAGACAGATAGACAGACAGGACAGCTAGACAAGATATAGATGGATAGACAGACAGACAGAGATGATAGACAGACAGACAAGCTAGGCCCATTTCCTGCAACCATTCATCATATCTTTTAGCCTCCAGTTCTCTAATCCTCTTTGTTGCTCTTTTTTGGCACTCTTTCCAGAGTGTCAACCTCTTTTTTAACCACCCAAAACTGGATGCAGTATTCCAAGTGTGGCCTTACCCAGATATTAAAATCATTGTCACCCCCTTTATGCACCTCTGGCAGTTCTTCCAGCTTGAGGTTCCTCCCTCGGTGACCGTGGGAATCAAACCCCATTATGGCGCCGCCAATGCTTTCCTTTCCCCTCCGCGTCCTTCCTTCCTTCCTCCACTTGCAACCTACCGTTTCAAACTCTCACAGCTGCCCACCAACCCATTTCAGAGGGTGGCTGGGTTTCCACAACCACGTTCTCTCCCATCCTCTTCCAGGTTTTCCGGGTCGTCAGCATCTGCCTGGGGAACCCTCCTACCACCTTCTGCTGGGAATATTACGACAAGGAGAAGAATTATCACAAGATCGGCCCGATCAGCCCCACAAAGTTCTACCAAGAACACGTCAAACCCTTGTTTGATATGGAGAGCAAGGTACGAAGGTCTCGCGGTGCAAACTAACACGAAGTGTGCCAGGGCTCCAACAAATCCGCCCCCATTCAAATCATAAGTATCTAGCCTCATCTCTCAAGAGTAAAAAAAAATGATTTATTAGGAGTGACCATGTCGGCGTTAGCTGGGTGCAGCCGACTCTTTAAGACCCATCATTCATTTCCCCCTTGACCCTGGTCTTCCCCCTCCTGGATGTATATTTTCCAATGGGACACATCCATAGCCAAGAGTCATCAATCATGCTCTCTAGTAATAATCTTGCGCGCCAACAGCTTCGGCTGCCTAGCAATTATCTGAAGCATTTAAGGAATGCACTGCTTTCTCCCACTCCCTTTCTGCTGGCAACTAAAAAGACCAAAGGAGTATTATTATTATTTTTTTTAGTTGACCAAGTGATCATTTCCCTGATCCTGGAATCTCTTTTTTTTTAGGGATCTGGGCACATTCCTTACCCTGAAATCCCTTTCCTCAAACCTAGCCCAGCCCAGCTGTGTCTCTCAGTGTGGCATCCCTCCCCAATATAGTCAGCATTCCTCCCTTGCTGAAACTAGAATTCCCTTTTTGGATTCAACCAGGAAGGGCGATTTGATTGTAATTCTCCTTTTTTTTCCTGGCGTACGGGAAGCCCACGAGAGATTTGACCCCACTTATTTCTGTAAACCATCCGAAGGTGCTGGGCTAGAAACCAGAAGACGGGGAGTTCTAGTCCCGCTTTAATCATGAGAGATGTCTGGGGGGCCTTTGATCCAAGCTTGTAACTTCTGGTTTCATCTTAGATATGAAAGCCAGTTGGGTGACTTTGGCTCAATCACCAGGAGACATTGAGTTCTAGTTTTTGCCTTAGGCAGGAAAAAAGGCTAGGTGACTTGGGACCAATCACCAGGAGACTGGGAGTTCTAGTTTCTGCCTTAGGCTTCAAATCCAGCTGGGTGACTTTGGGCCAATCACCAGGAGACATTGAGTTCTAGTTTCTGCCTTAGGCAGGAAAGGCGGGTTGGTGACTTTGGGCCAATCACCAGGTGCCATTGAGTTCTAGTCCAGCC